ACGCGCGATTGGCAAGAGCCACAATTCGTCCTGGGAGAACTGAACTGAACTGAACTGAGTCCTGTACTGGATTGCATTTGCGCCGTTTTTGATTTTTGCGCTCCGTCGGCTGGGCCACCATAACCGCTGGGAGTATGACGGAGGTCAGCGTTCATTCCCTTCAGGAGGAAAATCGTCAACTACAAAACGCATTGAAAGAAGCATTGCAAGAAAAGTGCGAAGCTGCCCAATATGGACTCCGACTTCTGGAAGAAAAACAGCAACTGCAAAACAAACTTGAGGATGTCGAAAGACGTGCTGAAGAAGTTAATCGTGAACTGAAGTTGTCGAAGCAGGTTGTAATTATCTAGTTTTTAACATATTTCTCATTTTAGAAGCTACATGAACAAAATGAAATACAGCGCCGCTTAAGCATTGCAGGGTTTGAAGAAGAGCAGGATATGTTGTCAAAATACGCAAACAAGGAACAACAGTTGATTACTCAGGTACAAGACCTCGAGGTTGAATTAAAAGAAATCAAAATCAAACTGGAAAGACAAATGACAGACAATGATGGGCTGCATCAGAAATGTGCCGATCAGACAGCGAAATGCGAAGAGTTGCAGCAATCAAACCAGCGACTCAAAAACGAACTTAAAGAAATTAAAGTCAAGGAAGGACAGCTGTTACATGAATTCGACGATTTAGAAGCGGAAAACTTGGACCTACAGAAGACCATTCTTGCTCTTAAAACAAGTCAGGTGGGCACTCGTATTTTATGCTAACCCAGTCTAGGTGGAATTTGAAAGCCTTCGGCATGAATTCAAACGACTTCAAGAAGAGAACGAAATCATCCATTCTCAGTTAGAAGAAATCACCCGTCTTAAGCGAATGACCGAAAAATCTCTTGAGGAAGCTCTTGAGTCACTACAAATAGAACGGGATCAGCGCCACAACCTTAGAAAGGAGTTGGATAGCCGCTTAACCTCAGAATCGATGTATCACTTCACGACTCTTCATAGTGATCTTAAAGGACCTGTTAACCTAAATATAAACTATCGCGATGGAATCTCTAGTGCAAATCAGGCACTCGATAAAGCAGAGGCGGCTCTCATAGAGCAACTCGATTGCGAAACCAAATGTGAGTGGCTAGCTATGTTTCGGATCAATACTGTAATATTCATAAAACCCTGTCATTGTTTGGTCCCATCCTTTTGTTTTTCGCGAATTGGACCTAAGAGTAAAGTTGCCATATCTTTCGAAGTAGGATTTTTGTTAAGCACTTCATGCTAGTGCTGCGGATGATTTAACCGATACCCCAACACAGCACAAGTAGTATGTTACAAATAACAGCTTTAGTCTCGGGGCTTAATTAAGAAATATTTGATCTTGAGGTGGTGGTTTCGTTTCCACTTCGTCCAAATCAGGCGGTCAACTGATTTCTGCTATTAGTAATAACTAACAATACTCTTATTGCCTTCATCGTACCTTTCGGTCACTTAGATGATTTTCACTAGTGCAGTGTTATGTAAAGCATGTTGTTTAGATTGTGGAGTCCTGTACTTAGGCCTGTTTGTACTTTGTTTATCACAAGGATACACGGAGTTAAGGTGAAAATTAAAGAGGACTATATATTATATATATAAGCCTACTTGTGGGCACACATGGTTCCTGCGCCACAACAATGTCAATAACACGGGGAGGGTGACTGAGATACTAAACAGCGTTTCACCGTACATTGAAAAAAAAATTTGTGCGTCTTGGTGTATTCTTTTTTTGTGGGGGGGGGACTTCAACAGGCAGACCGTTCAGAATTCGCGCCTATGACTTCTATTCGGAGTCATATCTCTCATCATCCCTGTCCAACGACAATCATCCCTTGGGCCCCAAACTGGAAGGCAGGCTGCACCAACCGAAGCATAAGCTGAGACCAGCTTCTTCATACCTCTACGATAGTTCATGTTGTGATCGCCGCAATGTTTTTTTCCAGCATGTGCAAATGAACATGAGAAAGTAGACTATTAGCCGACATACACGCTACGCAGGGTGGCTTTGTCAAGCCAGATCTTATCATGCCTGGAGGGTCAATGGATAGAGGTCAGGCGAAGTCCGATGGCCTAGTCTTCCAGGTTGGGGGTTCAACTGGGTGCCTTTGATGCAGGCAGGTCAACAAGCTTGTCTGACGCGATACAATCCTTAGGAATCGATATTTGCTGGGTAACGAAGACTCGAATTCAGGATCTTACTACTGTAAGCCATTTGAGCGCGCCAGATTTGTCTTCGAGATACGTTCTTCGCACATCAGGTGACGACGAAGCCCGCGCAGTAGGTCAGCGCGGGGTAGGTATTGTTCTTTTATCGATTGGATCCTCGTCAATGGTTGTTTATTTACAAGGCGTCTCCAGGGTTAAATCAGCGTCCCGAAGGGGAGCAACACCAAAAGGTGTTTGTTCATCATATCAGCATAAGCACCGTCTCGTTGCGGTTCTGACACGAAAGGGCGATCTCTTTCGGATGAGTCGAAGCTCCGACATAGTTGTAATTGCAGGTGACCTGAACCCACAGGTTGGAAAACTGAGCACATCAGAAGCTTACCTATGTAGTAATCCTGCTTTACCCTGCCGACAAGCAGATAACGGCGATCGACTTCATTTCTGCGCAGACCATCATCTGTTCCTATCCAGTACGAACTTCCGACTCAGCTCTCGAAGGACGGCAACGTGGCGCTCCAGTTCAATCGGTACGATAACTCCAATCAACCCAAATGGACCACATAGCAGTAAGTCACTGTTGGCGTATCTCAGTGCAAAATTGTACGTCCTATTGGACCACCTGTGTTGA